CAGCCGGGTTCATCCCCTGTCCAGCAACAGACCGCGAGCTGTCCACGTCCACCTCAGCTGCTCTCGTCGGACCCTGGTCACCCTTTTCTCGACCAGCCGGCGGGCAAACCCGCAAAGGCTTCGCGTCAATGATAATGCCATTATGACGCGTCGACTCCACCAGTCGAGGGAGGGGGTTGGGGATATTAGTATCCGCTTTTTTGGCTGGGATCGGCTGATCGGAGTCATAGCCTTTCTGTTCAGTAATCTCCACACTAGGAGTGCTGCGCATGTCTTGGGATTTCGTTGGCCCGAGATCACCCTTCTCCAGCGGGCCTAGCAGGTGAGCTTGCATGGGGGGCTCATGCACAACAAACTCCTCTTCCGATTCATCCTGGAGTATCATTCGGCGCCGCCGAGCCGGGTCTACCTCCTTGACAATAACAGGCGAATTCCTCGAGGAGTGAGACGACTGATTTCTTCTTGGCCTCCTATTCCTTTTCACAGAGCGCGGTGCATTCACCATATCATAATGGGAGTCCCCATTCACCTTGCGGCCCCTTCCTTCAGTCCCCTTCTTCCGACTTCCGGGCTGGCATGGGGCCCTTAGAACTTAGGCCCTGTTGTGGGAGCTGCTGCCGGCCATGATTGCCAATAGCAACTCTCGACCTATATAATAATTGGACCCAAAAATTATTTTTGAGCAACTTAAAATCCTCCAAACTATCACGTCATTTTTACATTAAAAAAAAACAAGGAGGAACTGACAAACGATGTCGTGTTGCCCATTACATACAAAAAAAAAAAAAAAAAAAACCCCAGTTTGTGGACAAAAAGGAAATTTCAAGAAGCGAAACTGCGAAAGGACGAAGAAGAAAAACAAAATACACATTCCACCTGCATCATCATCATCATCATCGAACCCTAAAAGTCCATCCCCCAATTTCACCATCTCCAAAACCCTCAGAATCCATCGCCATCGCCGATCAATACCCATTGACTCGCTCTCCTGCGCGGGAATTCGATCGGGTTTCTGATTCATTTTCTGCTCGCGGCGGAAGTGGAATTCGGCGGGTGTGGGGGAAAATTCGGCAATTCCCAATTGTAATATCTCGTTTTCCCCGCCCGCGCAATCAACATCATCATGAGCTTTCAAGATCTCGAGGCCGGGCGCCCCTTGGGCGGCGGCGGGAGGAGGGACCGAATGAACGGTAAACAGGATGCCACGCAGGCGGTCGCGTCCGGGATTTTCCAGATCAATACCGCCGTCTCGACTTTCCACCGCCTGGTTAATACCCTCGGCACTCCCAAGGATACTCCTGAGCTGCGTGAGAAGCTGTGAGTTCCTCGGTTTTTTTGGGGGGGTTTCTTGGGATGTTTGACTTGTGAATGTCTAAATTGGGGTTGAATTCTGCGTTTGGCTGGGCTGTGTGAATTGCTTTGCCGCCGTTTCTGGTTACTTGATGATTAATGGATTCAGTCAACTAGGAATGAGCTCACAGGAGCTTGAATTGTCATTAAATGAGAAGGACGCTCTGCCGCCATTTCTGGGTACTTGTCATTTTGATACAGTTTTCTTTTTTAGTAGGGATGGATTTTCCGATTTATTACCAGTTCGGGAAGAGTATAGCGTTAGTTCTGGACTCTTATCTAAAGTGCTCCATCTGTGTGCTAACACTTGTTTAGGAGTCTCTTTCTGACTCATGTATAACCAGTGTAATCTGAGCATAATATGCTCAAGTTTCGGATATTGTAGGTATTAGATTCAGTGACTTCCTACATTGTTTGGATGTCCTACTCAGACAGTTCCTAATAATTATTGAATTGCAGGCACAAGACAAGATTACACATTGGACAATTGGTGAAAGATACTTCTGCCAGACTTAAACAAGCAAGTGATGCAGATCACCATTCCGGAGTTGATGTAAGTTTGTCTGCATGATGGGATAACTCCTGAAGTTACTTTTGATATGTTATATTTTTGCTTCTGCCACATTTCTTGTTCTGGGAATGGGATTTATGGCATGTTTTATTAATAAGTAGCTACTTAAATGGTTGATCGATATTGTTGGTTCTCTTTCCACTCTTTAGGTAGCTAAACATTTTCTGAACTAAGGTCTTTGTTTATTGGCTCTCATTCCAGCAACGAAAGAAGATTGCCGATGCCAAACTTGCAAAAGATTTTGAAGCAGTTCTGAAAGAGTTTCAGAAGGCTCAGCGTCTCTCAGCTGAGAGGGAAACAGCTTATTCTCCATTTGCTCCCCATGCAAAAGTCCCTTCCAGGTAATTGTTTTTGGACTTAGCAGAGATATTCACTGGTTTATGCTATAAAACATTTGTCTTAAGACTGTTTTTATTCAGTAGGTTATTAGTTTTGTAGAAGCTCTTGCATGTTCCTTATGGTGCTTTTTTCATATGTCTACAGTTACTCCGCCAATGAGGTAGATGTAAGTTCGGATAAGAATCCGGAAGAACGTGCTCTTCTGATGGAGACAAAAAGGTGAGCTGTAATGCTGATTGCTAATTATCCTTTATATAATCTGATGCTGCTGCATTATTAAGCAAGTTCACCATGCTGCTTCCTGTGACTTGTCTACGTGGTGTGGATTATATGGATCAGGCACTCCAGGGATACTGTAAATTATTAGTTTAGTACATAGGCCACTAATTAACACCTTTGCCCCTTGCTTTCCTATATGTTGAAGAAAACCCTGAAAAGGCACTATGTTAAGGATCACTTCTTTGTGACCATCTCGTCCATTCTAGATCTAAAGTAAACACTGGTTTCCTGTAATGTTAGTTCGAGTGCTAAATGATCTCCTAATATCTTCAACCAAATACATTGTTCACTAGTTTCGGGTTTAGGAGCACATGTTGAAAATGAGAATATGCTCAGAACTGTAATTACTGTCCTTGTAATTCAAGCTGAAAAGTTGAGGTTAGAAGATTAGTGTAAATTTCTGTTTACTTTAGTAACTGATGTGTCATCTGATGCAGACAAGAAGTCGTGCTATTGGACAATGAGATTGCCTTCAATGAGGCAATCATTGAGGAAAGAGAGCAGGGAATACATGAGATTCAGCATCAAATCGGTGAGGTGAATGAGATTTTCAAAGATCTTGCGGTCCTTGTCCACGAGCAAGGAACTATGATCGGTGAGCTGCTGATTCCTTCCCCTCTATAAATCTGTTGATATCTTCCTTTTTTGTTGTTCTTGGTACTAAAGGATTATGGAAATGGTGCAGATGACATAGGTTCCCACATAGATAATGCCCATGCTGCAACTGCACAAGGGAGACAACAGCTCGTGAAAGCTGCAAAAACTCAAAGATCAAATTCCTCCCTGGTAACCTGTGTTCATACTTCTCTTCCCTCCCATCTTTTATTCTTCTGATTTGTGTCTTAAATTCCTCCCTGCTTAACCATTTCTTTCTTTTCTGTTTTGCAGACTTGCTTACTGTTGGTGATCTTTGGGATCGTGCTCCTCATCGTGATCATAGTGCTTGCAGCCTAATCTTGGTTCTTTGATCATTCATCGATGATTGCTTATCTGCATATGTTCAGTTTCCAACAGAAATAGTGATTCTCTGTGGTTAAAGGAGGAAAAGAAGTGATCTTTTCTTCTTCTGAGAATGTATTTGTTTGTTGATTTCCTTTTGTGAGACGATGGTTGAATGAAAGTGTTGATCTTTTGTGATGCTGGTGGTGGTATATATATTGCGTTCTTTCCTATATAGTAAGATGGTTTGTGTGTTTCTTGGAATCTTTGTTAATTCTTCATACCAAAGAATGATTCTATGTGCACACTGTTTTCTGGGGACTTCTTTTGATGGTCAAAAGGATGCTTGTTAGATTGGTTTGAGTTGGAGTTGAATTTTGAAAATTTTTGGATTTATGATGGATTTGTTGTATTTTGTATTTGAAAGATAGTTTATTTTTAGTTAATGTCTATTTTTTATTTAAACTTTTTTTATATTTTTTTATATTATCCAAATCTATTAAAATACTATTAATTAGTCAAATTTTTCGTAATGCATTGAAATTAGTCATTTTACGTCATTATTATTAATTTTGTAACTCTTTTTTTAGTTAAAATACTAAAATTTTGGAATGCTGACATTTATGTGTCTCTTCCAAGTTAGTATAATGTTGTCAAATCAATATTACTAACAAAATTGCTAATTAGAAGTTAACATTTGACTAATTCTTCGTATTTCGATAGATTTGGATAATTTAAAAGAATCCGAAAAAGATTTGGATAAAAAATAGACATTACCCTCTATTTTCTATCATGAATTTTGTTGGTTTGGTACACGGGTCTCAACTTTTGCCTTTCATAACTAAGTATTAAATGAAATGTGCTATTTGTAAATATGTGAGATTAAGGAATTTGAAGCGAAAAATGATCTAAATTTGTGGGCTTCACGAATTTGCATACTTTAACATATATGCCCATGACTTTTTACATAGTTACATTATATAATAATTTATTTATTTTCAATTGTCATTTATCAACTAATTAAATCAAGTTTAGCAGAAATAAAAAGGAAAATTTCAAATTAGGGTTATATATTATCGCAACTTCACTTTTCCCTTAGAGTTCGTTTGGATAAGCAATTGTAACCGATCAATTTGAAGACAATTGTACCAAATTAAATAAAAAAATTTGGATAAATCAATTTTTCTGAGATGTTTTGAATTTTTTTCGTTTCAGAGTTTAGTTCTGACAAACTATGCGTTTCATGTTTTCCCGTTTCTTCGTAGCCATGTCACAAGTATATCAGACGTTTCCAGTTTCCACACCCGCTTCGCGTTGATTCTGCGGCCCGCCGTTCTACTTACTCTCTCGGCCGGCGCCACTTCCTTTAGCTCTTTTCATCGCCACACGCGTCTTAGTCTCCAGATTTTGATCTCTGTTGCCTTCTCTGGCCGTAAGTAACTCTAGTACTGCAATTCTCTCTTCCAGCTACTAAGACACGCTCGATCTAAGGAGGAATAAGATACTAATAAAAGACCTGGCGATGAACAGTAACGGTTCGCCGGCGCACTCCTCAGTCTCCACTACGGCCGTCGTTGGCGGCGGCGGGAGCAGTAGCAGCGCTTTGGAAGATTTCCACTTCCCATCTGATCTCATCTCCATTCAGGATCGCAAAGACGAGGCAATGCTTGGTGCGTTTTTTTCTTTCTTTGTCTGTCAACAAAATGGGGATTCTAAGATTGTCTAGCTTTTGTCAAATCTGCGTTCAAATTGCTGCAACTCACCATCTAGGTCTGCTCATTTCCGCCACGGGAGCATTAGGTCGTGCTTCAGTTCCCCAATCATAGAGGGGGAAATATCCAGCTGATATCTGCAATCTGTCATGGAGTTACTGGTTTTTCCCCTTCCTCAAATGTGCAGTTCTTGAGCTTACGAAGTGTCTGGTTATCTATATTTGTTTCTGTGCAGCTCTGAAAGCTGATTTAGCAGCTTCACTTAACAAGGTGGTTAGCTCATTGGATGAAGATAACTGGAAATTTGAAGGACCTCGTTCGCGTATAAACCTTGTATCTAGACCAGGTTCAGCTCTTCCATTCCACTTTGCCTTCTATTGATTGATTGCTTACTCATTGTGTGATTTAGGAGGAGGGAATATTAGTGATGTCATATTGGCAGCAAGACTGTTAGGGTTAGGAATAGGCTGGCTGTTCAGTTGATCTTAAAATGGACACTCGTTCTGCGTTATGAAAAGTTACGGGAATCCCAGGTATTTATGTGATCAAATGTGATGTATTCTAGAGTTTGTGGTTCCAGGAAGCTTGTATTCATTCCTTTCGAGAAGTTTGTGTATGGGAGCAAGTTTTAATGAAGTGTTGTGCATTGTAGAGTAATTCGTGCATACTTATCAGTCAGCACTCACCATCTTACCTCGTTGTATGTTTGAGTTCCAGAGTGGGTCTTGTCATGAATTTGGTGCACCTATATGTTGTAAGATCTGATGTTTTGTGCAGTTGAACTCGTATAGATATGTAAATACTCATACAACTGAATTTAGATTAGCAGTCAGGGCGATTGTTCTTGTTGTAGGTTGGCATTGATATGTTACCTGATGATGATTGTTATGAGTGACTTTTGACAGCCCCTCTGGGATCTTTGTGTTCTCTGTCAAACTGTTAATGATCTGCTGAAACGAATTCCAAATATCAGGTGGGTTTCTGAACAAGAAGATCGAAGCAACGAAGAAGTAGGAACTTCTGGGCTGGGAGAGTGACTCGGAAAGTCTACTCAGAAAGGTGGCTTTCTGTATCTGTAAAAGTCATTAGGGGAACTTTTATACCTCTTCTGTTAGCATTCGATTGCATCTCTGATATGCCGTTTTCTAATAAATGAACATTACAGCATGAGATGATTGCTTGGCTTGCTTTTGGTTGAAGCGATTATGCGACGTGTGCCTTGTTCTCAAATCACCCGATTATATGTTTATGGATATGGGTTGAACTTGTCTCAAACACATTATAGGTGCTGCTGCCATGGTTACATATGATGCGACAAACTCACTCACCCCATTATTATGTTCAGTGTCATTTGGCCTTGATAAACGGCTGCAAAGTTTTTCACTTGTAAAAACAAATAATCAGCAAGTTGAAAGCAAATTCTTCGGTTCAAATCTTTCGAGTAAAAAAGATAGTAGGATTCCGGATTATTTAGATCTAAATCGAGTCATATGTACGGATCATTGTCATCTCACATGTAAGTTTTGTTTTTTCTTGTAGCCACATAAAAAAATCGGGGCGACATAATAGAAATTAGTAGAAACCAATGAGAATAATGTTTATGGAAAACTGGATTACATTTATGCTAACATCGGTACTCATTAATTAAAATAAGCAACTGAATGCATTTATGGTATTGATTTTCAAATTTGGAATGGGATTAGGTGCTAACCCTTATAGGGGTTAGCACCGTGATAACTAGCAAAAATTACTACGGATTATTATAAAATCAATACAACATCTAAGCTAAATCACTAATAATTCAAACTAGTAGTAGTTTTTCCCTTGGTTAGGACGGTGCTAACTATTGTACAATTAACACCGTAGCCGTTCCCGTTCAGGAATTTCTAGAATTATGGAATGACATGTTTTTCAGTTTTATTGCTGTTTAGGTCCTTTTTGTTGTCACAAAGCAATGAAAACACAACAAAATAACTATAATACTAAACGGGACCTAAGTCTCGCTAATAGTTGGATCAAAATATCATGTATGTGTTTATGGTGAAAATTTCATACAAATTATTTGGATACATTCCAATTTCTACGATAATTATTAGTAGGGTTTATACCTCTTTAGACAATATTAACATAAACCGTTGACATAAACAGTTTGGAAACGGCAAACTATCTACCACCTTTTTTGTGTGGAGAAACTAAAAAAACTATCTACCACCTCATAGCCTCTTACCAATCAATCCAAATAACCAAGAGAAAGACATAGATTGAGACATTATTCTAAGGACTCCTAGTTCTCCCCGTAACAAACAGTCACAATCCAACTTCTCCAGGGCAGTGGAGTCACACAACCAGACATTCCCAAGAATAATATGTCATCCACCATTCCCACATTTGCTTCAATATAAATACCTTCTTCACATTCACCACACATCATTCAATTCATCTCCATCACAACTACACAGTCTCCCTCTCTCTTCTACAAAACCAACATCCCAAAAAACACATCACCATGTCTCTTCCAGCGATGACGATCATCATCTCCGTCATAACGACGACTTTATTGATCGCCAGTATCGCTTGCGGCTCCCAACTCCAGATCGGGAGCCCCAAAGTACAATACATCGTGACGAACAACGCCAACCACACCTTGGGCGGGGCCCGATTCAACAAGCAGATCGGGCCCAGCACCGCGGCCCAAATCCTCTACTCCGCCACCAACTTCACCTGGGCCGTGTTCGACCAGGCCAACAACCCACTGGACCGGAAGAACATAACCTCGATCACCCTCCTCATCGAGGACAGGGGGGTAAACAACGGCAGCACCACCGCCGCCGCCGCCGCGCAGACCAACAAGACCACCATCCACGTCAGCGCCAACTACATCGGGAACTACGCCGCCAACCTGCGGCGGCAGTTCAGCGGGATCATCTACCAGGAGGTCGCCGCCATCTGGCAGTGGAACGGCAAAGGGCAGGCGCCGGCGGGGCTGGTGACCGGGATCGCGCACTACGTGCGGCTGCAGGCGCGGTACGGCACGGTGGAGAAGGTGAAGCCCGGGGACGGCGACAGGTGGGACCAGGGCGGCGGCGTGACGGCGAGGTTTCTGGTGTACTGCAATCAATTGAAGAAAGGGTTTGTTGGGCAGATAAACAAGAAGATGAGGCACGGGTATACTGATGGGTTCTTTCTGGATTTGCTTGGGAAGCCGGTTGATCATCTGTGGAGCAATTACAAGGAGAGGTACGGATTGGAAGCAAGAACTCATCGTCGTCACCATGAGTAGTTGATTCTTGATTGTTCTGTTGTGCGATTACTACAGGGGTTTTGTCGATCGGAATTTTTGTGCTTTTTCGTTTATGGTGTGTGGTTTGGGAAGTTTTGTTTTAGCACTTTGTTTAATTTAAAGAAGTATGATCAGTTTTGGAATGCTGGGAAGTTGAAGTAATTCGGTTTTTTTGGGAATGGAAGTAGAATGTCTGAATTTTTGTTACGAAACTATATATCAATTTTCTGAGTTTGAAATGTTTGTATGATTGCTCTCGACAGTGATCACTGGTCAAATGATAGACTATTTGTCAAAAGGCTACGTGTCAATCAAGAATGGAAGGTAAACTGCTAATTTTATTGAAACAAGAAAATGATGAATATGCATGAAAATTTTGTATTTTAACCCTGCTAATTTTAGAGTCGAGGATGCATAGTATGTACTCATCAGAGCCGTCCTATGATATTTGGAGGCCATGTTCGAAAATTTAACATGTGGCCCCTAATTTTTTTCTCAATAAATTTATTAAATAATTATAAAGTACATAAGTTCAGAAAATGATTTCAAAATGAATAAACAATCTCGCTTCCTGTTTGACCAAGAAACCAAGACAAATTCTCACTCCTAGCAAGGAGTGGAGAAAAGTAAATATGGAGGGAACAGAAAATGGATATAGAGCAAAAATTGAATGGAGAAATGAAAATAATATGAATTGATCGAGAGGTGGGTGCGGGTCTATCTAATGGATCGTGTAGGCCCTATTCCAAAATTGAGAAATGATCCAAATTGACTTTTAACTATAATAAAACTAAAATGATTATAATGCCATTATTCAAAATGTAATATCTTTCTTTATTGTTTAAATTAAAATTATCTATTATCTCTCTGATTTTCGTATTCTCCGTGAGATCCTTTTCAATTGTTATTATAGCTAAAATTATTTATTAAATTCGTCATCATATTCATAATCTATCAATCATACACTAAAAAACAACCTGCCATATTCGATCAGTAACTAACGAATCTAAGTGGAGGCCCCTAATATTCGGAGGCCCTGTGCCGAAGGGCGGGCTGGCACACCCTCTTGGCCGGCCCTGGTACTCATTTATGTGATTGTGTCCCTAATTAGTAGCTTTTTGCAATCTAGCTAATCTAGCTATCCCAAGAATGAAGGATATATATCTGAATTGCTATTCGTCGCCCTAAGATTCAAAAAAAATCGCCCTAAACTACACTGAATTGACACATATACCCCTGACTTCAAACCTAAACTACAATTTGTCCCCAACTCCAAACCCGATTCTCAAAATCTCGCAAAAAATCTGTCGTCCACCCGTTCTTACTCTCCGCCACCGCCGGCGCCAGGGTCACTCCCCGCCGCCGCTGCTATTCGTCGTTGCTGTCGATCAGGAGGAGTTCGTCTAGGGTTAGGTTGACATTGTCGAGAAGCTTGTCGTCGTGGATCAAGTGGTAGTCTGTTCGCTGGGCTCGTCCGTGATTGAAATTGTTCCTCCGCGGGATTGGATTGCGGATATGAGTACGGCGATGGTGTCCCACGACGTGGAGGGTGAAATTAGGATTTGCTGCGATTGTAGGTTTACGAATATTTGCATCTCTTCCTGTCTTTTTTGGTATTCCGAGCAGCAAAGTGATGGAACGAAAGATGTGTGGTGGCGGTGACCGTGGCCTGGAAACTTTAAATCCTTGATCTCCATGGAGAAATTGATCTTTGCGGTGAGAAAATAAATGCTAGGAATATATTATATACAAAATTAATTAAACACATTAATTATTTTAAGAGATATTAAAAATAAATCAAGGGTATTAGAGTAAATTTAACTAAATTAGGGCGACGAATGATGATTTTTAGGGTGACGAATGAATAGCAATCCCCATATATATTTGTCGTCTTTGCATGTAAATTAACATTTGCACCGACATTGAGAGTTCAGGAGCTCCTCCTCCTGATGGACTCTCTTCGCAAAGTGGAAGTTCAACTTTGCGAACTTCAAGATTACTGTCTCATCATGAGTCATGGCTTGATGGTCGGATTCAGAATAAATTTCGATGCAATGCCTAGCTAGCAAGTGTTCTGGGATACGTTTCCACTTTCCAGATGGGCAGGTTGAGGGAAAATTCGACTTTCTTTTTGAATAACTAAGAAGAGTTTCGTGATCCTAAAGAATCAACTCTAGGTTTTTGGTTGCGAAGTCCTCAAGCTTCATCTTGTATGTCTTCTTCATGGATCGCCACATGTGTTGTCCCGTACAAACTCAACAATCCTTGCACATCCGATGCCAATAATTCTTTGAACTTTCCGTCGTTATCCTTGAACCGTCTAAATCCATATCTGTTGCAAAAGGTAAGTTAAACGTGAAGTACAAGTGACTAAGGTCAAGACTCAAGAGTGTACAGACTTCAAGTCCAAGCTTTCATCTCATTTTTTTGCCTCTTCAAAGAAACCCTATGATGGTTATATTTTTATATCTTTTTATTACAATTCAAATTACTAGAAGGAATTGATTATTCAATTAGTTCTATTTCTTGATGAAATTATATAAAAAATATTTCATATTAAGAACATTTGATATTATTTCATATGTAACACATGCATGCACACATTAGCAGAAACACGAAAATCCATGTTGTCTAAGTAGTCGAAACCATAAAACAACGTGATACATATCGATCTTGCCATACTTTTCAATGAATGACTCTCCTCCTAGAATGTATAACATTTTTAAGAGGTTGGCTTATATTCAAATATGTGGAACTCGAAGCTCCCACTTTTTGATTTGAAGTTCCAGCTTGAAAGAGACGAGGTCAAAGCTATCATTTGGCATTGTGTTTACACCTAAAATATTTTTAGCCTGAATTAAATGCCGCATTAATGAGTTTCGGCATTTAATCCGATACCGCGGATAAAAAGCGGTGTCGTTTGGAGTTGAGCGGCATCGCGGAGAGTTAAAACGACACCGCAAGGAAGCTCAACGGTACCACGACACTGGAAATGATACTGTTTGCCGGAGAACAAGAGGTGGGCTGCACGGTTAGTGTTGGTGTTGGAAAAGGATTTTTATTATTTATTCCTTGTCGGAAGGGGAGAAGCGATACCGCGTGGAACAAGCGGCATCGCGGAGAAGTAAAACGATACCGCGGATTTAAAAACGGTACCAATGTGCTAGCAAACGACAGTGTTTAAAATATTTAAACAATGTCGCGAAAGGAAAAGCAAACGAAGCCGTTTTTGGGAAGGAAACGATACCGCGAGCAAGCCCAACGACACCGCAAGACGAGAAAACGATACCGTTTGGTGGAGAACAATGTCGCGGAATGAAAAACGACATTGTTTGATGGGACCGGGACAGAGCAGTTCAAGGTCGGCATCGATTTAGTGTCGGAAGTTTACAATGGTGCAGCGACGATTTATTTGTTCTTTCATGTAAGATTCACGCCAACTATAGCGAGGAGGAGATCAAGGCGGTTGAGACACGTGGGAGTTCACAACGGAACAGTTGAGGAAGCGGTTTCACGGAGCGTAAAGAATACGAAGATGCTTTTCAAATAAAAGCAGCGGAGCAAGGAGAGAGAGGACAACCAAAAATCAACACAGATCACATCTGTCAAACTTTACCTTTTCTCTGTAACTCCTTCGCGGAGCTCTCCTTCCAGGAAGGATCTCCATAGTTGTAGTCTTAGTCGTAGTCGCGGAGCTCTCCACAGGAATCTCCATAGGAGTAGCGGTAGCGTAGATTCCTCAAAACTCAAACACCCTCGTTCAAACGTAGTTTGGAGAGGTGCGAACCGTAGTAACGGTCGTTCTTGGTTAGAAGTCAGAGGTGCATCGATCAAATCAACACCGCCCGGCGGTGGATATTTGACGGTCACGTTGATTTCACCATTTAGAGGTGCATCGATCAAATCAACGGCGCCGTCATTCGGCGGCGGATATTTGACGGTCTTCTCGATTTCAGCAATCAGCGGTGCTTCCGATTAGGGGTGGCATTTCGGTTATTTCGGTTATAACCGATAACCGATCGGCCGGTTATCGGTTAACCGAAATAATCACTCTCCCTACCGAAAACCGCCCGAAATAGGCTTCGGTTTCTCGGTTATCTCGGTTATCGGTTAACCGACCCACTTTTAAGACCAAAAACAATGTCGTCGAGCCTCCAATAACCGACCAAAGTTCGGTTACTTCGGTTACCGGTTAGTCGATAACCGGTCGGTTATCGGTTTAACCGGTAACCGGTAACCGAACGGCCACCCCTACTTCCGATCAAACGGCACCGCAAGAGTTTCCACCGCGAAACATCAAATCAACATCGTCGAAAACGAATTCGGCACCGGCGGTGGTATTTGGTTTTCGCCAACGAAACAAATTGGCACACCCGGTGGGACACGTGTGTTTGAAATGGCTCTGCGGCGAGAAAAACAAGATTGCGATCTTCCACAACAATTTCTGGACGAGCAAAGGACCAATACTGAAGTTGGTCAGGCGGACGAGGCGGATAGACATATCGGTCGGATGAAGGAGTGGCCTCAATCCATGTCGAGCACTGACGGGCATGTTGCACTCTTGTCTCTTCGTCGAGCCGTGGAGGAGTATTACCAGCAGGTAAATCTCTATTTTATCTCTTTAAATAAGCCGTGTGATTCTCTTGGAAGACATATGGATAATTTTTTTGAGATGATAGATGAACATGTTTCCGGTATTGCCAATAAGGATTCACTTAAACTTGTGGCTAAAACAGTGGCGTTAGGGGCCAACAAATCTCATGTTGGTTCTCCTGTGAACACTATTGTTTTGAAGGACAGGAAAGTTAGAGCGGTCTTGCGAAAGCCACAACTAAGAACAAAATTTAAACGTGTTCATAATAAGTTTCAGAAAATTAAGAAAAACAAGTGTGATGTCTTGAAAGATGACAAATTTTACCACATTCTTCAATCTAAGCCGCTAGGGGGGCATGTCATCCCAGCTCGTGGTAGATTGAAGGAGAAACAACATCGTGGGTGGCAAAGAAGTTTGCCACACCCACCCTGCTCGAGGAAAAATCTAACAATGGTTTCCTCAAATACTCTTCGGTGTGGGGATGTTAACCACGTAGAAAAATCTAATGCCAACAAAGTTGGCATGACTCAACAGGATCGTTCACGTAAATCATCCCCGAAGTTTTTATTGAGTGGACAGGGGGGCAAGTTCAATCAAACCCGACATGGGGTTGCCACGCCAATGCTGGCTGGGAACAAGTCTTCAGTGATTTTCGGGCAGGGGGCAAGCTAAATGCCCGAAAAATTCCAATCCCACGTGAAAATTCAAAAGATACCAAGTGGTTATGTGATAAGTGCAAAAATCGAAATAACCACATGACTGTTGGTGAAGCTCGTAAGCCTCAAACTCAACAACGTCGTGAGTATGTGCAGCTGACAAAACAAGACCAGTCTGGGCAAGCGATGCCACATGGTCGATTTGGTAGGACAAAGACGTTAAAAAACTCCAATGTACCGCCAAGAGTAAAAAACACTGGTGATTTTCTCTGTCACGACACTATGGCTAAGATGAAGCAAAATCGAGCTCGTGGAATCTCGAACAAGGGTGTTCGAGCTGGACAAAGTGGAAAGTTGCAAGCCAGCTATGGATGCAAAAAATCTAAACCAATGTGTGTAGAGCTAGCTGGGACTAGTGAGAGTATTCATGGATGGCTTGTTTGGTTTGATCCGTGGAGTTGGCAGTGGGTGTGGACCTTTGGCATGATGGTTTATGCCAAAGTCTAATCTGTTGGTTATTTATGTACTAGTAACAAATAAAATATAGCTAATTTAGGCCATATGATATATATGTAAAAAAAAAAAATTGCAAAGGAAACAAGCATGTTTCCAGGTCCAATAGTGGTGCTTTATTTCTCACCAACGTTGTGGTGACCGCAAAGCGGATGACACAACACCATGGTGAAATGCAACAGTATTGTTCCGGACCCGATTGACAAAAAATTTGATTTCCGCATAGGAAAATAATATTGTTAAAATAAAATAAAAAGTAGTACGCCGTTGTTTCTCTAAACAGTGTTGCGGGACTTTTGAAAGAGAAGGGGAAAAAAAAGTCGTACTAACATCAGGCCTGGCTAGTTTGCAACGCTGCAAGAGAGACAAAAAGGGACTCAAATGGCGCTGTCTTAATGCTGCGAGCTGCCACATTGTTGTTAGATTGGTTCCTCGTTTTACTTTTGTGAGAAACCATGCTTATGAGTTTTATAAAAATAAAGATAAAAGAAGATACGTAAGGCCAATGTAATGGTCATTTGAACTATGAGAAAAGCATGCAGGGTTGTTTTGCTCTTCGCAGCTTTGCGGTGTGGGGACAAATCCACTGCGTTTTGGTAAAGCTCGTCACAGCGTTGCGGGTAATGGCTGGTTGCAGTGTTGCGGAATGAATGATTTCGACTAAGGGGCCAGGCACCAGCTAGTTTAAATACCTTATCTGTCTTCATATTGCATTAAAGTAGAGTTGTTTTTATTTTAGTCGCACACTAGATAGCCATCACAACTAATTAATCCCAAGACGGATCAATCTTTATTACACAAAGCATATATATGTCTTTTTTTTTTCTTCTTCCCTTTTTTATTTCGGTGCATTATTAATCACCATGCATGTACTGAAACACCCTAGCTTGTGCATGTGCAATGATGTTCATATCATAGGGACACACTTCTTCTCAGAGCTTGAGCTTTGGTAGGTACGAGGTACCATCGAAGCCCTTGTTGTAGGAGCCGGTGAAGAAGTCTTGAATCGTGGTTTCCCGATATTTTGGAGGATTGTCTTTCGACAATAACTTCTTTATGGGTGCGTATATTCTGGTAACGGATGGAGGCCCGTAACCGAAAAACGCACCGATGGATACTCTGGGTCCGCCATTTTTCTTCAGCACAACCCTATGCTCCGCGCTTTTGAACTTGTCGTTTGATATCAGCTGCGTAAAAGTGAATCGATCAAGAATCAATACATTATACTATCAAGAACCAGTTGATCCCAATAATTCGAATTGTTGGGAGAATGTTCTATTGTATCCTATAATACTCTCTAACACGCCCCCTTAAACAAAAGTCAATCCAACAGGTTTGAAGTTTGCATATGCCCACCATACCTTGCACTTTTTAATGCTGTCAATATTGAGGGTTATGGAGTTTCGAACTGTTTTCCGGCGAGAAAACTTGCGTTGAAACGAATTGATTGCACCTTGACTTCTTTGGACAACGATCACTAAGACACGGTTCACACCTCTTCAAACACAGTTCGAACGAGGGTGTTCGATGTTTACACGACTCACGAGACGGAATCTAAATTAAATTACCCTACTCCTATGGAGGTTCAGTGAGAGCTCCAGATCTACTACTACGGCTAAAATTGCAGAGGAAAGGATAAAGGGATAAAATTTGACATTGTGTTGTCTGGTGTGAATTTGACCACCCCTTCTAAGACAACTCTTCCTCCTATTTATAGGCTTGAGGTGATAACCGTCGTAGAAAACTGTTTGGAGAGTAACTTCCAAAAAGAACCGCTTCCCTTCTTTCCCGGACGTGGCTGACGTGTCCTTGAACGTGGAGTAATTGACAGTTTCTCAAACAAACCGCCGGTTCTCCCTTTTGGAACTGACATCTTGTTACTTGCCTTTTCCTTTACCATGGCTATTCCAGATCTCGCGACGAGGCGGGTTGTCAAACGTGATGACAATGCTACGAGGTGGTTTACCAAACTTGACGCGACGAGGCTTGTCGCGACGAGGCGGTCTACCAAACTTTACGCGAGGAGGCTTTGCACTTAGACTTAGTAGAGGCTTGGCGGACTTGCGACGAGGTGGCCTAGCGAACTCGCGAAGTGGCTTGACGCGAGGAGGCTTGGCGCTCGAACTTCGTTTATCTTGTGACCTTCTCCCCACGTATCTTGTAGACTCGCGATGTGGTTTAGACAAGGCGGTCTACCAACTTGACGCGAAGAGGCTTGTCGCGAAGAGGCACCAGACTTAGTTTATTCTTGCGCGTCATGTCAGGCCTAATCATTTGGGTTTAAAAATCTAGCATCGTAGGCCCAGTTTAAATAACATTAATTGTTATTGTTGATCTGGCCTTATAAAGACAGTTAATGTCTTGTAAATAATCAATGTGGTACACGATTATTTTTGTAGTGTAAACACGAACACAAAATCACTTGGGCCAAATCAGGCTCCGTCGACACCACGTTAGAAACCAATTGATCCCAATAACTCGAATTGTTTAAAAACAAATTTTTTAGTTCTATGCAATAAATTATAGATTAGAGTACTCGCCTGAAGCATATCTCCGACGTTGATCACCAGAGCGTCGGGTTTAGGAGGCACATCGACCCAATGACCCCGATGAGCAACCTGAAGACCTCCGACGTGATCCTGCAGAAGAATGGTGATGAAGCCAACATCGCTGTGCTGGGTAATCCCCAAAGTGAGCTCCGGTTGAGGACATGGTGGGTAGTAATGGCCGCCTATGCCCAGCACTTCCGCGCAGTGCTCCTCGTCTTTCAAGTGATTCGGAGGCAGACCCAGAGCCTCCGAGAGCAAGGCGAGAAGCAGGTCCCCGAGCTTAAACATCTCCCCACAGTACTCCGCGAGAATGGCCCTGATGCAACCGGGGACCCGCTCCGGCTCGGGCGGATTCGGCGCCATTTCGAAGAGGAAAAAATCGGTCCAGTTTACAGTTGGGGAAATGCTGGTGTCCCAGTTACTGTAGTCAAACGAGTCCTTCTTCCTCTTGAGCTGATCAGCAGCTGCGGCAGCTTCCTGCAGGTTGGAGAACCTGTGGACTCCGGCTTTCATCTCCTCCAGGGTACTTGCGGGGATTCCGTGGTTCACGATTTGGAAGAACCCCCACTTCTCTGCGGCGTCCCTCATCTTTTCGACAATCCTCGCACCTTTCAGGTCGATCACCGGCGGGGCGAAATCGGGATCGTCAGCTGGAGCGACGGGCCTGCCGCTGAGCAGGTGCGGTGGCGCGTGGAACATTGGAGGCAGCTCTTCGATTCCTGCATCCGCCAGCCCTTTCACTCCGACTTTTGATCGGCCGAATGCTTTCTTATCCGTGGAAGCCATTCCTCACTCTGTTTTTTTTTTCCTTCTTTCGTTTTGTTGTATATTTGTTATGCTTTGCAGAAAAAGTCGGGCGTCCTTTTATAGATAGACGGACGATAATTGAATACATGTATGGTGGTATGAATATGCCAAGACCGTACGATAATTGAATACATGATAGTAGCAGTCACTGACGTAACCAGGATTTTACGCAAGAGTACTATTTTCTTAATTAAAATAAATATATCGTATATGATAAATTATTAATCCTATTTAGTGACTCACAACGTTTTCCCACTATATATACGGTTTAAAATATATGTTCATATAAACTACCAAACATATTATTGTCAATATATCCTACCAAATGATGATTCGTGATTTTTCTTATCATTCCATCCACGGAGAGTTAAGTTAAAGTCACTCTAGTGATTATGGATAGTCGAGGAACATCGATTGGAATGAGATGGTAGAGGTGAACGACTTAGTAACCACGTTTGAGTGGATAGTTAGATATTGGATGCATAGTGGTGTCGTGGGAGGTTAAGAGTCACCACAAATTAGAGTTAACAATTATCTAAAACATTAGAGATTTAAGAGATTGAGTTAATCATATATGCATTTTATTTAATTCGTGTACAAACTATGATATCGTTTATATAATTGAAAATAATTTAAATGTACGTTCTTAATTTAGTTTAATGATATAAATAATTAAGTACAAGGAATAACCTTCTATATTCAAGTTCCATTGCAACCAACGAACTATATATACTATTTTTTAACTCTTTCTCCAATTCAAGGGTGTGCAGGGGCACCCCTCCCTACACACTCCCTCCTAGGGGTGGCAGTTCGGTTATTTTGGTTATAACCGGTAATCGATCGGCCGGTTATCAGTTAACCGAAATAACCACTCTTCATATCGAAAACCGTCCGAAATAGGCTTCGGTTTTTCGGTTATCTCGTTTATCGGTTAACCAAACCACTTTTAAGATAAAAAATCATTTCGTCCAGCCTCCGATAACCGATTGAAGTTCGGTTACCGGTTATCAGTTAACCGATCGGTTAAACCGGTAACAGAACTGCCACCCCTACTCTCTCAGCCCCTAGTAGGAGTATATTAACTGTCATTTACGACTTTCAACATTGTGTACCACAAAATACCACCCTGTACCAAAGTATTTTTTTTGTCCTGTATTTTATTTACCTAGAAATTTATAGATCCAACCGATAACGATGAACTTATCTCTGCACAAATAAATCTCTTGAGCTGTGGCGGGCGGAGGGAAATGCTGCTGTTATTAATTAATAATTAGCACTTAAAGCAGCGTGGCACATATAAAACAGGAGAAACAAATGTTTTTTTTATTGCACCCTGGGCCCCTGGCTAAGCCATTGTTGACTTCTGATTTGCTGTGTCTTTCAATTGCATTTATTTATTTGCTAAAAACGAGTCTACAGATTTCTTATCAAAATACAACAAAAAAACGTCTAATCTCATGTGCATGATTAATTAAATTTTGGCCTCTTAATTTTGACTAGGGTTTGTTCAAACGATTTAATATCTCATTCGTTTCTTTTTTAAAAAATTATAGACTAAATGTCTTTATTGTGTTCTATGAATGATATCTATTTTCAATCTAAACTTCGAAGAAAACAAAATTTAACATCAATTTAGTGATGTTACGTGTTCAACCCAATTCTCATTTTAGGCCATCAATCCAAGCTAATTTAGCTCCAAATTCATTGGGGTTGGTATGGGTTGGATTAATAAGATTTATTTCCGATCCTACGAACTCAACTCTCACTAGAAGTAAACTATTAGCAACTCGATCTCGTCTAGAACGAAGATGTCTATCTCTAATCCATATAACCGTACATATAATCTTCATAACCTCTTTTCGTACCATCCTCTTGTCATTATAGTAACTTTAAGGGAAAATGTTGGATTGCTAATCCTATAAATTCCGTACTGAAGAGCCATAACAGATAATATAAAAGCTAACCATAAAAAGTTGGAACCACCTCGAGTTATTTGGGTATAATTTCATGTTATATAATTTATATAGATCTTGATCATTAAAATATATATTAAAATCATTTTAAGTCCTTGATCAAGAAAAAATGTTACAAAGATAATAATGGACACCGACAGTCCCAGTTATTTATTTCCGTTACGTTTTTTCTATGTTTTCATAACCGGATCGGAAGTTGAACCGAAAAAGTTAGTGGTTTAGGGTTATGCTGTTAGCCGTTGATAAAACCGTTCATGATATATATAACATATATGACTTGTATATTACCCTAATTTAAGAATGAAATTATCAATGACCATAAACAAGTTCAAATTCATATAATCACCAAAATATATAATAAATAATTCCAACTATCTCACAAAAAAAACACATTTTTTTAATTCAAATTAAAAATTATAGTTTTAGTCGATAATAGGCAACGTAAAGTCAACCAGTGGATCAGTTAAAGCTTCTTTTTTTTTTTGTTAAAATAGTGAACCAGTGGACTAGTTAAACCGTGTTGGTTCATCTGATTTTATGTTGAACCGTGAAACACCGTTTGGTCCATCAATAATCGTTCAAGCAATGAAACAGACCACTATCGTAACTGGTTTGACAGTTCTACTGACACGATTGTTGATCCGGTTCAGTTCTTAAAACAATGTTTTTTTTTTCCAACCTGCGCCATTTTACCATTTGTATGTTTTTAAATTCCTTTTTGTCGCTTTTTGTGTTATCTTGAATGGTTTCGGGTATTCATTTTATCAAAAGTGCTACTTATGAGTACTTAATTAATACTTCTATTGTGATTTAATAGTTAATACTTTACGAAATAGTGTTAACATTTATGTAAAAAAACCTTAACATATACGTAATGACATATTACAGCTGATTCATAAATACATATCATTGGAACAACAATTATTTCTTACGATTACCATTAAATCAGAAGTGGTACGTGACACTTTCATAATGACTTAACACTTTACGTAATATAGTATTTATATTCATGACGTAAAATGATCTTAACATTTTGCAACTTCCATAAAGGACTCCAATTCTGGTTGTGTTGGATGAAAGGCAACGCGTAATTCGACTTGCCGAAAATTCAATTAACTAATGACCCATAACGAATTACCCCAATTCGATTCAAATCCAATCAACCTGCTCTTTTACACATCGAAACTCTTCAATGAGAAATAACAAGATTAAACTCAACAAGGATTTTGAAGTCAAAAGGATTAATTCCCGACTTTGCTTATTTTAAGTTTATAATCGCTAGCAACTTAAATATAAAGAACAATGAATATTACACTATCAACCAATCCTACAAATTCGCACTATGTAACAGGAACAGATCAGGTGACCTTATAGTGAGTAATCATGAGTAACCCGTCCACGTCAGTATGACATCAGCATCTCTCTCTCCTGAAAAGCCTTTAATTTTCCCCTCCTAAATCTTTGACGGACGATTTTTCACTCGTTTTAAGTCGAAATTTAATTTTTTACACAGTTAGATCATATTAATTGTGCTCTTCAAAATGATATATATCCACTTTGATATATTTTTCGAACAAAAAAAATTGAGCCATTTTTTACCAGTCTATACCATATGGTATTGACTGGTATTGAAATAAAAGCATACCTATGGTTTGAAAAGCGTACCATGGTGGTATGAACAAACCAAGATTGTAGGATGGTTGAATACATGATAGTAGAAATATGTTAACTGTCATTTACGACATTTAACATTGTGTACCATAAGATACCACCATGTACCAGGGTGGTATTGTGTGGTATTTTTTGGTCCTGTAATTTGATCACCCAGAAATTTGTAGATCCAATAGATCATGATGAACTCGTCCCTTCTGTGCAAACGTTTTCAAAAATGAATTAAAAACGAAGAAAATATCATATGGTATGCAGTTGGTACCGAGAGGCCATAATTTTTTGTTCTAAAAACATATTGAAAATTGATCTCAGTAGAGCACGATGAACTCGTTCCACCTGTGCAAAAAAAAAAAAAAAATCAAAATCCGAGTTAAAACGAAAAAGATATGAGCCGATTAAGAAAGTTAGGGAAAATAAAAATGATCTTTAATTCTCTATCCTTAGATCTGGATTTTCTAAATGAATGGTCCAAATTTGGTTATTGATGGATGCATAACCCATGGTTATACGGATGAAATCCCATAATACATATATTTTCAAAAAAAATTCCCAAAATACACACGTTATAAAAAATATTCCCAAAATACACATGTTTGTGCATCACCGCTGTTGTCAACCGCAGTGAATGCATTCACCGCGGCAGACCAAAGCGGTGAATGCATCACCGCGGTTGACGGTCGCGGTGAATGCCTGACGTAACACTGAAACTTCAAACAAACGTAACTTTGCGCTCGGTTATCCGATTGTAGCGAATTTTTTTTATTCCATATAACTTTTCAAGATCTTTCAATCTGCAGAAAGACTTAATCTAAAAAAATGTCGTTTGTTAACCCGAACGAGCAATTTTTCGATTTTGCCAAACTTTGGAAGACCATAACTTTTAGCTCCTCAATCCGAACGTCGTAAAGTTTTTTTGATTGCTCATAACTTTTTAAGAACTACAACTTTTACTAGGAAAGAATTTTTTAAAAAAGAAACGTTTTTGGGTATACGGGATTTTGGCAATAACTTTGCCTTTACTTTTCACAAATCCACATACTTTCCAAAATTATGGTTATAATAAAAGTTGTAGTACTTCAAAAGTTATGCGAAATCAAAAAAAGTTTAATGACATTCGGATTGTGGAGCACAAAGTTATGGTGTTCCAAACAAATTTTTTTTTGGGATGAAGGCTTGTTTCAGATTGAAAGATCTTGAAAAGTTATGTGGAATCAAAAAAAATTCGCTACAATCGGATAACCGAGCGCAAAGTTACGTTTATTTGAAGTTTCAGTGTTACGTCAGGCATTCACCGCGACCGTCAACCGCGGTGATGCATTCACCGCTTTGGTCTGCCGCGGTGAATGCATTCACTGTCGGTTGACAACAGCGGTGATGCCCAAATATGTGTATTTTGGGAAAAAAATTTTATAACGTGTGTATTTTTGCAAATTTTTTTTAAAAACAAGTGTATTTTAGGATTTTTTCCTGGTTATACACCCTATCTTGAGTCGTATGTAACTGGGACAGAGTTACTATTTGTCAACCGAAGGAACTTTCTTCATACACCAACTAAAAATGCTAACAATTATCACGAGAAGCTAA